GTCATATGAAAAAATGCTCTAAATCACTATTGATTAGAGAAATGCAAGTTAAAACAACTCTGAGGTACCACCTTACACCTATCAGATTGGCTAATATGACAGAGAAGGAAAATAATAAATGTTGGAAAAGATGTAGAAAAATTGGAACATGAATGCATTGCTGGTGGAGTTGTACACTGATCCAACCATTCTGGAGAATAATTTGGAACTATGCCCAAAGGGCTATAAAACTGCACATAGCCTTTGATCTAGCAATATCACTACTAGGTCTATATAGTAAAAAGATCATAAAAAAGGGGAAAGGACCCACATGTACAAAAACATTTATAGCAGCTTTTTTTGTGGTGCCAAAGAATTGGAAATTGAGGGAATGCTAATTAACTGGGTAATGACTGAACAAGTTGTGGTATATGAATATAGTAGAATACTATTCTGCTGTAAGAAATGATGAGCAGATAGATTTCAGAAAAACCTGGCAAGACTTACATGAACCGATGCTGAGTGAAGTGAACAGAACCAGGAAATCATTGTACACAGAAACAGCAATGTTGTATGATGATCAACTATGATAGACTTAGCTCTTCTCAGCAATACAATGATCCAAGACAATTCCAAAGGACACATGATGTAAAATTATATCCACATCCAGAGAAAGAACTATGGAATCTGAATGCAGACTGAAGCATCCTATTTTCACTTTTTTGTTTTTGTTTTTGTCTTTCTTGCAATTTTCCCTTTTGTTCCTATTCTTCTTATACAACATGACTAATGTGGAAATATGTTTAATATGATTGTATTAGATTGATTTCTTTCTTGGGGAGGGGGGAAGGGAAGGAGGGAAAAAATTTGGAGCTCAAATTCTTATAAAAATGAATGTTGTAAACTATCTTTACATATAATTGGAAAAATACTGTTAAGTGAGAAAAAAGAAAATTATCTTCAAAAAACAAAAAAGAAGAAATCAGGAATGAATAAAAGCCAAAAATTATAGCTCTCAATGAAGAATTTTAAAATATAATTAGCAGATTAGGAAAAATTGAATCTATGATAGAGAATCTCTCTAAAGAAGGAAAAAGAGATATGAAACACAAAAATACTGAAGTGGAGGGAGGAAAAAGATAGAAATTTGACCTACGGGATAAAAGAAGGAACAAACAGGGACCATCAAGGGATTTCAAAAGTGAAACAAAGGGATAAAAATTTTGGCAGCATTTGAAGGATCAAGAGGAGCATATTTAGAAAAGTTAAATTGAAGTAGCATAAATCCTCTGACTCCCTACAGGTGAATCAATGCATTTTAGAGTATGAAGTTACACAAGTAGAGAGAGGACAGGGAAAACAGAAAGTAACAAGTGATGGACCCCTTCCAAGTCCATGAATAAGCAGTGAGGAAATCGTAATTCCTATACTCTATATGAGAATGTAAAATGTATCAGAGGGAAGACACTTAGAATGAGGAACTGGAAGGGAGGTTTACCCCAGCAAGTGAGAGGGGTCCCATTGAACAGAATTACACTAAAGAGATAATATGTGCCTTAGGTGGCATATAGGGACATGGTGAATTTAATTGAGTGAGTTTGTGCATTGGGAGATCACTTTTTCTAGCAAACTGCTCTGCCTCCAGGAACATCCAACCACTCCCCAGAAAAGGTATATAGTTCCTGGGGGCCTCTGACACTTATAATGGGGGAAGAGCAACACAGAGCCAGAAATAAGATGTTATGGCTTTTGGGAAAGAGACTGATCGTGGTGAGTGTAGGGGCTAGGTCTGGGCTGTATGATTTGGGACACAAAGCAATTTATGCCATGTGATACTATTTCCATCCAACATTGCTTTCTTCCTGAAGTAGTATTTCCTTTTTCTTTTTCTTTCTTTTAAGATGAGGTCGTCCTATCTCACCAGATTGAAAGTTCAGGGGCTACTTAGGGTCCAATCCCACTTTCATTGGCATGGGAGCTTTGACCTACTCTATTTCCAACACTGGCCAATTTGCCCCTTTCTAGGTAATGGGGGAGGCCTTCACATCCAGGGACTCCCCATATTAATGATGGGTTCAGTACAGACACCCAATCAGATTAGCCCACTGCAGCTCAGAATTTCCTAGCCAGAGAGATCTGCAAACTTCAACTTCCCCAATAGCAGGGATTACAGGCATTCAATACTATATCCAACCTAAACTGATATTTCTAAGAATGACATGCAGAGGAGAAAGAGAGAGAGAGAGAGAGAGAGAGAGAGAGAGAGAGAGAGAGAGAGAGAGAGAGAGAGAGAGAGAGACTAAGGTATGATCAACAAAGAAAATAACCTAGAAATTGAATAAAATAAGGAGCTCAAACCTGGTACTTCAGAAACTTTAACTCTATAAGGGAAATAAAACATAAAATGAACAAATAAGAGTTTAGCTCACATACCAGAAAATAAAATTTAGAATAGACTGCAAGAAAAGAGAAATAATGAAGAAGGGAAAACTATAGAAAATCACACAATAAAAAAGTTAATAAAAGTAAGAAGCTAAAGAGGAGGAAAAAACATAAGAAATTAATCACAACTGAGTAAGAGAATGTATAAAAGAGAGAGAGATATAGATAACTAAATAAATTTTTAAAAGAAAAAATAAAGTAGTAATTTAATTAAAATATAAGGATTTGGAAAAGAATAGGTGAATGGGAGTAGGTAATGGGGGAGAACCAGTATGAATAGATTAGCATTTAAGTAGAAAAACCAAAATTAATTTTAGGGACAAAATACTAACTCACAGGGGAAATGGCATTAAAAAAAAAGACTAAAGAAACAGATGAAGGGAAACAAAAGCCTACTAAATTTAAATGTGAACGGATTAGATAATCCAAAGAAACACAAGAGAGTAGTAGAAAAGATAAGAAAACAAAACCCAATAATCTGTCATATACAAGGAATACATCTAAAAAAGAGAAGACACATTCAGGATTAAAATAAGAGACTTGAACTAAATTTTCTATGCATTAAGTAAACTCCAAAAATTAGGAGTTTCAATCAGACACAGCAAAAATAGAAGTTCATAGCATAGAGATAAACAAGGAAACTATATATCACTTAAAGGAATTATAGACAACAAACCAATATCAGTACTATTGATAAAGAAATTCACCAAAGGGCATAGCATCTAATTTTGTAAAGAAAAAGGTAACTGAATTGCAAATAATATATTTGTGTTACTAAAAATATGTATGTATAGCAACATTATATATAGTAACACCATATATGTATATATATAATACACACATGTATATTGTAATACAATAATAGTAACATATACTTAGCTTGCTACATCAGAACTTGACAGATCTAAAAGGAAAATATAGAACTGGAAAAAAATTGTTGAAAAATTTAGAGCTAAATAACTGATATCTTCTCAACAAGAACATTTTTAATATATATACATGTATAATATATATTTTTTTTCCAGCACAATGTGGTACTTTTAAAAATACAAAAAAATTGTAGTTTTCAGAAAAATGACAAATAAATATAAAAAAATACTAAACACATCTTCTACAGACTATAACACAATCAAAATAATAATTAAAATAGGTAGCACAGGCAAAAAATATGGACCTAAATGAAGACTTAATAATGCTATCCCTGACAAGTAGATCAATTCAGAAGCTGAACTAATATAAATTCATTGCTGTAACAAGGAGACCAAAAGAGTTCAAAGAGCGTTTTAATTGTCAAACATCTGACTTACTTCCCAATTAGAAAGAGACAACTGCCGAAGACAGCCCTGGGGGAGAATATAAAGTCATTTGTAAAATAAAAGAAGAATAGTGGATGATTCTGGGCAGTATCATCTTACAAAGCAAGAAGCAGTGGAAGGTTAAATCGCTATAATACACTCTCAGTATTTTTTCCCCAACTCCCACTAACACTGGAAGATTGGGGCACCAAGAAGGCAGTTTACCACACATCCCCTCATAGTTTTAGGGGTAACCCTGAGGAATTATAGTGGGGGGTTGTTTATGCTATCGTTCAAGAGTCCCCTTCCAGTATCCTCCACACTGATGTTCAACCAGCCGGATTTAATTAACTTATCTTTTAGAAAAGGTATTTACTAATGTGGTTGTAAAAAATAGTATAAAATATCCCCCGAAGTAGTGCCACACTCTTTCCTTATACATGCAAGGTTCCTCAGGAGAGTGGGCTCAATCTTGGAAAGACATGTAGCCAAAGGATAAGCTTATAGCTTTTGATTACTAGAAGTTTTTTCTATTTTTATGGAGTCATTATGAAGTGTAGCTATAAAAGTGATATAGATGAATAGATGGATAGATAGATAGATGGATAGATAGATAGATAGATAGATAGATAGATAGATAGATAGATATCCTTTTACTCAGAGATCCTGTTGCTAAGTATACACCCCAAGGATATCAATGATAGAAAAAAAAAGCTCCTTATATGACAATATATTTTAGGTGATATTTTCTGAAGTATCAAAGAACAGGAAATAAAGTACATGACCATCAGTTGGAAAATGGCTTAACAAATTGTGAGACCTGAATGTAATGGAGTATTATTAATCAACTATAACAAGCCATTAAGATGAAAAATGCAAAAAAGCATGGGAAGACTTTTATGAACTGATTGAAAGTGAAGTAAAAGAACAAGAAAGCAATCTACAAAATGACTACACTAACATAAAAGGAAATAACATCAAGAAAACAATAAAAATGGAATTCTGTGAGATTATAATGAACAAACTTACCCTAAACAGGTAGTATAAGAATGTACCTGCCTCTATTCTTTGCACAGGTAGAATTCTAGAGCACAGTACTTAATTTTATGAACCTTTCTTTTTCTTTTTTATAAGGAATGGCTTTCTGGGAGGGAGATGATGAAGGATTATATTGAGAAAAAAAAGGTAACAGTGAAAAAAAATATCAACAAAATTCTAAAATAGAATGAAAACACTCCTGAGATGGCATAACAATTCAATGAACATTGTGTCATTTACTTACCAGTTCATTCTTCTTCCTAACAGAAGCGACTGACAGCAAAAACTCACTGAGGGCTCGATGGGGAAGGAAGGAAGTAGAAGAAATGATCCTCCTCCCTGAGTCTGCTTTAGGCTGGTTCTGACACGTTCCATTATTGAATATTTTTCTTCATGATAAAAATTTTTAGCCTAAAGAGGATCATATTGGGGAAGTGGTGGGGAATGAGAGTAGTCTTCAAATACTTGAAGGGCTTTTATGTGGGAAAAGGATTAGACTTACTCCACTTGGCCCCAGAGGGCAGAACTAAGAGAACTGGGTAGAAATTACAAAGAAACAGATTTTTGCTCAATACAAGAAAAAACTTCCACATAATTATAACTGTCCAGAAGTGGAATGGGCTGCCTTGGAAAGGAATGAGTTTCCCGTCACATTCAGAACATCCAAGAGAAGGAAGAATGATTATTTTTGTTATGTTGTAAAAGGGATTCTTGCTCAGGTTGCATGTGATAGTCTTGAAAGTGCCTTTCAACTCTGTACGAAGCATATAAAATGTCTTATCTTTCTTTTCGCTAGTAAGATTCTGGTGAGAGAAAAGAGAAGAACACAAAGATTCTTATTAGTTCCACTGACTTCTTGTCTGTCTCCTTGCCTCTGTTTTTCTCTCTTCCATCCTGCCCCATTCCAATGTTGTTTATATTCTGCTACTGGGTTAGTCTTCCTAGATCATTAAACCCATTGGCACCAACAGCCACAGCCACATACACACACACACACACACACACACACACACACACACACACACACACACCCCGTCCTTGCAAGATCATACATTGCTTTGCAAATATCAAGAATTTTAGAGCTGTAGTATGTTAAAGATGGAATGGATAAAAGAGGTCATCCATGACCCCTCGGTTTACAAAGAAGGAAACAGTTCAAGAAGGGTAAAGGGTAAAATGACTCGAAGTCACACAGTTTAGCCAACAGCAGACCTAGGACCAGAATGCAGGTCAGTTCATTCCCATTCTAGTGCTCTTTCCACTCCATCATGCTTCCTAGTTCTCTCATGTATATCTGTCTTTGTTTTCATTGCTTTTTAAGTTCTTTGAGGGAAAGACTTACTTTTTAATTCTTTAATACCAGAGCACTATATACTCAGAAGGTACTCAATAAAATTATATCTCCCCTTTTATTTGCTTCTCAGCCACTTACTAGCTATGTGACCCTGGGCAAGCCACCTAACCCTGTCTGCTTCAGTTTCCTCATTCTCAGCTAGAGAAGGAAATGGCAAACCATGCCAGTATCTTTGCCAAGAAAACCCCACATGAGGTCACGACAAGTCAGACATGACTGAAAAATGACTGAAGAGCAACAAAAAGTACACCAGAGTGATTCCAATATCTCTCTCAAAAAAACAAAATCTCCTGGTAAATACAAAAAATACATTCTACTATAGACAAGCCATTTATTTAAATTATTGAATGAGGGATGAGAGTGAGATAGGAGTGAGATTTTCGAGGAGTCAGGGCTCTGCCTCAATGCATGTAGACTTCTGGTTGTCACACCAAGATATTTAGGGGATCCCAAATCCCACCTCTATAACTTCCTCAGACAATCCTAGGTTAGTCAATTCAATAAGGGAAGCCAATCTCTCTCAACTGGCTCTATAGTTATATTCGAAGCACAACATGAGCGCTAAGGAGTTAACAGCCTTATTGCAGAGGGATTTCTTCATAATCTGTACACATGTCATGGGGATCAGGCCTGTGGGTGGTAGTGCTAGTCTGTGGCAGTTGCTCAGACCCTTGGCCCAATGCCCACCAAGCTCAGAAAAGCCCTCTTATCCAAGTCGCTTTCAAATTTAATTAAGAAAAAACCAAGCACAGGCCAAGGCCATTGGGGAATGTGGAAGTGGTCTCAGAAGCGCCACCACCCAACAGTTCCAAGAGGCCCTAAAAGACAGGGGTAGAGGGGGTTGGGGGGAATTAAAGTTTCTATCCTACTTAAACACGACAAATCAAAAACGCCTACCACCAAGGTGTAGCTCTCGGCCTTCGAGAAGATCAAGCCTGTGGAATGGGGGTAAGAGTAAAGTAATAATGAAACACTCAACCTGCATCATCAGCTTTGGGTTAGATCTATAGAGCTGCACCCACCAGGCAGAGAGACCACAACTCCATTCTCCCTCTCATCCCTCCTTTCTTTCTCCTAGTTAAAATGCCTGTGTCTAATGAGAGCATCCTAGGCTGGGTGAGTAGACAACCAAAGCTAAGCAAGAGATAGAAAGATGGAAAAGAGGGAAGGAGGGAGGGCAAGGGGGTGGGACAGAGACCAAGAGACAGAGACAGCACAAAAGGAAGGAAGAGGACAAAAGCAGTCAGCTATTCGCCAAATTCATGGCATTCATGCTGCTGCCTGTGTGGGTAGGGGTGGGAAGGGGGCGGGCAAGAGGTAGGTGGTTTGAGTTGATTAGGCAGGAAACTGGCTCTCTGCCTTCTGGATTCCAGATAAAGGTTGGGAAAACCTAGTATGGCTACAGAGTTGGCAACATGGCCCAGCTTCACTTCCCTGCCCCTACTCCCCTCCCCAATTCTATTCTCCAAATATTTTTTGTTTGCCAAAACCCAGAGCACATTTTGCTCCTTCCACATTTCTTCCTTTGACTTTGAAACTGTGTTGCATTCTAAGTGTACCCTTGGTTCACAGGAACAAGAATTCCCAGAATGAACAGCACTGGATGTTTTGGAAAGAAACCCTAACCTGGCTAGGTTTGGAGTAATTAACATGTCACACAAAAACACCATCAGCTCAACTCTGAGGATTGCTGTATTCCAGAATTCATGAAGCCCTCACAAATAATTTTCCTTTTGGACCTGAGCTTGGAAGAAATTAAATTCTGGGGTCCCGATGCTTAGCTCCCACTGATGAGAAATCAAATCCAGAAAGCCATCACTTCAGTTCAACATGTCCTTCAGATTTGAAGGTAATGTGAGTGCTGTTTCTCAATTGGGGTTGAAATGTTAGAAATTCTATTGCAGGAGACTTCAACCTTCCCTCTCCAAATGAAAGACAATGGGATCTCTCTCTCTCTCTCTCTCTCTCTCTCTTCTCTCTCTCTCTCTCTCTCTGTGTGTGTGTGTGTGTGTGTGTGTGTGTGTGTGTGTGTGTGCGTGTGTGTGTATTTTAATTAATTTATTGTGTGGATGACATTGGTTAAACTGAAATACCCCTCCTCCTAGCTAGATCTAATTCTCAAAAAACAGTTGTGCCTCGCCTCCCTCCCTACCTCCATGCAGCTCCTGATAACCTCCTTTCTTGACACTCAAATACATTTATACCTGCCAAGATGAGTCAAGAACTAAGGTCGTTATCTGGATGGTGTCAGGGGGAAAAAAAGGCAACAATACTTTTGTATGAAATCCAGGTCACTGACTTCATTCTTTGCCTTCACTATTTTATACCAGCTGCCTCCAATCTCTACTTTTTTGTGGTCTAGATCATAGATTTGTATCCTGAGCACACCTCAGAGATCATCCAACCCCATCATTTTAGAGATAAGGAGACTGAGGCCTAAGAAAGTTATGACTTGCCTAAGGTTAAAAAACTACTAAGATGTCAGAGGCAGGATTTGAAACCAGGTCCTCCAACTCATCATTACTTTTCCCATTGTACACATTGTGTCTGCTGTTATGCCTCAAAAAAGTCATCATAGGTGAGGTCATATTTGCCAAATCTCTGCCCTACCTCTAATAGAAGATATAACTAGGACAGGGCTAATAGGCTTTTACCCAGGGTGCCAAAATTTAGAGGAAACTGACAAAAGAAGCAGGTACTCAGCAGCACCAAAACAGCTGGACTAGTTAGTAAGAACTAGGGAAGTAGGAAACTAGCAGATTCCATCCTGCTCTCCACTTCCAACCCCTCCCACAGCAGAGACCTCGTGGTGCCCTGGGGGCTCAGCTACCATCATGACACCTCTGACCCTTCTGAACTGAAACCCAGGAGGTGGTTGGAAGGGAATAGCCACTAGCAGAGGTCTGTCCCCCCATCCTTGACCCAAGCTGCTCAGATTCCATGAGGGTGGTCAGGCAGAAACAGTTACCAACAAGGGCATCCTTCCACCTCCTTTTTCACTTTCCCCTGATCCTGGTCACCCAGACTTTATGGGATAACTGGGAAGGAACAGCCATCTATGAGAAGTGCCTTTCCCCTGTCCTTTCCCCTTTTCTTTCTCCTTTTCCTTCCCTCTCTCCCAACCAGAGTTACCAGACCCCATGGAGTGCAGAGCACACCAATGGTGACCTTTCTCTCCTAACCTTCTTGCCACTGCTCCCTTCCATTTCCCTCCCTCCTTGCTGGCCATTACTTCCCTATCTCACCACTGAGGGAGAGAACTCAGAATCCCACTTCCTCAGGTCCATTGCAAGTGGTGGTGGGCCAGACCCCTGCAACTGCATCCCGCACCCATTTCTGTAGAGCTGATATGGCTGTTCACACTACTTAAATAAACTGTGGCTGTCACCACAGCCCTTCTGGTATTATGGAAGACCATGAGACCTTGTCATCTTTCTTGCCACTAAATCCTAAGAAAGGTACATAATGAACGTCAACAGACTGTCAGAATATAAGCTGCTGTAGGCTAGGGTCTGTATATGCTTTGCGTATCTCAGATTAGTTCAGAGCTTGACATATAGTAAATACTTACTAAATGCTTTTTGCATTCATTCATTACTTATCAATGGTCTATATACCAGGCCAGTGGATGGATGCGAGTTTAAACCCGCAAGTTAATATGAACATCCTACCAGGATCAAAATACTCATTTCTTTTTAATCAGTCACTATTCACTTGGAGAGAGAGAGAAACTAAAATGATGGAATCCCAGCTTCAATCTTGATGGGAATTGCAATGGGGATGAATTTTGAAATAAAGTTCTCTCTCCTCACCATGCCTAACTGTTCACATTGTATCCTGAGGTGGGGCATCAAAATAGCATTTTGGGGCAACTCAATGGCACAGAGGACAGATCACCAACCCTAGAGTCAGGAGGACCTGAGTTCAAATCTAGTCTCAGACATTTACTAACTGTGTGATCCTGGGCAAGTCACTGAACCCTAATTGCCTCCAAAAATAAAAATAAAAGAAATGATATCTTAAATTCAGTCAAAGAAGAAATACCACCATTTCCCTTACCCACTTCTGCCCCCATACTTCCCCTCAGGTCAGAGAGATGCTTTATTTATCAAAGGAAATACCCATTTTTTAACTTTAGTCATCCTTCTTTCAAAGTCCCATAAAGGAATCAAGACTTGAAATGGGTTTGGTTCATGACAAATGTGCTTTCTCAGCAATATTTGGCACACTGAATAAAGTGTTGACCGGGTGCAGCTAGGTGGCGCAGTGGATAGACTGCCGGCCCTGAAGTCAGGAGGACCTGAGTTCAAATCCAGCCTCAGACCAAACACTTGTCACTCACTAGCTGTGTGACCCTGGGCAAGTCACTTAACCCCAATCGCCTAAAAATAAAAAATAATAATAATAAAGTGTTGAACTTAGAGTCAGGAAGACCTGGGTTCAGCTCCCAGCTCAGAGACTTACTGTGAGGCACTGTGAAGGCATTTTTACTTCTCTGGGCTCCTGTTCTCTCATCTGTAAAACAGTAATAATAAGAATACTTACCTGCTATAATAGCAGTGATGTTGTGAGGATTACATGATGTAAATCACCTTGCAAAATGTAAAATGTTATGTGAACATAGTCCATACTCTTGCTAAAGGCATTTGCATGAGACTTTCCTCGCTGGTGGAGAAAATGATGACTTGATTCTGCATGCCTGCATACCGGGGCATTGTGGACATAAGAACTTTGGACAGGAAGCATTCTTCTTCCTTCCTGATTCAAGAGAAAACACACACAATTCTAGAGACTCTTCCGAGATAGACCCAGAAGAGAGAACAGACTTTAGAAGGGAGATGTAAAGGGGAAAGCTGGATCCTCAACATTTCACTGAGTTCCACCTGGCTTCCTTAGCAATTCTGGAGAAGTTACCCTTGAGTGAGATAGACTTAGTTGAGCTGAGATATTTCACTCCTAGTGGGAAAGCTCATTCATTGTGTGTGTTGTCTGGTATATTCTAATATGCATAATTTCTCTGGTATCTATTTACTATCAGCATGGATAAATGGATCTGTTTACTAGGATAAACTCTCTATTCACTATCTGTAATGGTCTTTCATGTAACTAGTATTTAGTGAGAAGGGATTAAACTTCAGACGTTAGCTTAGGCTAACTATTCCTTTTTAAGAGAAGAGCAATAAGAAAAGCCACTTTTTGAACCTAAGAAAAATAGTTCCCTGAAACTAGCAATATTTAAGGAGGCAAACAGATACAATTCTAGTCTAGTACCACCCTCCTCTCCTAAGAGAGCATGAACAGTCAGCATAGAGGTCCCTTTTCCTTCTTCCCTCCAGTCAACCATCAGAATCTCCTTTAGAGAGGGGTAAGTAATGAGCCCCACTTAGCAAACCCGTGTGGACATGTACATAACACACATGGGCAACATACACACATACCTTACAAAAATGTAAACTTTGATTGTTATCCTTTCCCATTTGCTAGTCTCTGTTTTGTTTTACTCCCTTAAATTCAAAGCATCTTTAAGGAAAATATAGGGCTTTGAAAAGCCCTATGGAAATGCAAAACATCATCGTAGCTTGGTTTCAGTAACAGAATAAGATTCCCAGGGAGAGAAAACAGCCTTTTTTTTTCTTTAGTGGTCAGTCAAGTTACCTGTATTATCTGTATTTCGCTTGGGGAGTGAAGATGAGAGGAAATAGAAATGACAAGCATACTATTGTAAATTTAGAGCTGGAAGGGGCATTAAAGTTCCTCTAGTTCACTGTTGTCAAACTCAAATAGAAATGGATCCCTGAGATCACACATTGACTTAGAAAACCACAAATCAACATTATCTATGTTGTATTGTATTTTTATTGATTTTTGTTAAACATTTCCAAATTACATTTTAATCTGGTTCAGGTCCACTAAAGAGTTTTGCAGGCCGCTTGCAGCCAGCAGGTATGAGTCTGAGATGTCTTTGATCTAATCCAACTCCTTATTTTTAGAGATGAGAAAACTAAACATGGAAAAGTTAAGTGACAGATCCAAGGTCATACAGATAATGTCAGAAGTAGCATTCGAACCCAAGACTGCTTATTCCAAATCCAAGTGATTTTCCTGTTTTATTCCACTGCTTCTAGTCAGAGCCCCTAAAATTCTTCTCAGTAACATGACGTCATACAGATTTATTTGACCTTCTAAATGATGGCCATCTGATCGTCCTTAAGTATAATAGTTCAAGACAAAAACTTTTCTGAACTGATAAAAGATTGGGGCAAAAGGACAGGATCTGAGTCCTGCTTAGGTATTGCTTTTGAGGACCTGGGAGTGTGTCCGTTTGTCTCATGGCCCAAGAGAGGTATCCTACATGCTGTGTCCCAATGTAATGCCTCTCCTAGAAACTAGTGAAAATGGTGGAGCTAGAATTCAGACAAATTTGAGCATCTAGTCTGGGCCAACATCTGGGTTCTCACTGGGTTTGGGGAACATGACAAAATGTCTCCCCTAGGGACAAGTAAAGAACCAGAGACTTGACCTTGAGAGTAGTAAAGAAAAAAAAGACTGGGATCAGCAGAGCTACCCTGTCAGGATACCCATGCTGAGCTTTTCCATTGTGGGTTGAGTTGTGTGCCAACTGGCTGAGCACTTCCCAATGACAAGGGCACTGGAAAAGAGGCTAAAGAACTGAGGATAGACATTCCAGACCCTTCCAGCATCCATTGGAAATGTAGAAGTGGGTTTTATTATTGAAATGGGTTTTAACATTATTTATTCTTGAGACTTTGGGGGATCTCTCACTGACCCCATTTGGGCATTGGAATCCACTCCCATTTGTCCACTTCACCTGCTCCCTGCCTCCACTCATTCTTTCCATGGAGGGCAGGATGAAATAGAAAGTAGCCATGTTGTTTCTTCTCTACTAGACACCACCACCACCCTCTTGCTAAGAGGAACAGCTGGCCCTTTTAGAACTGTTATCTCAATTAGTATTGTATTAAGTTTTCTTGGTATGCATGTGATACTATATTAAAAGCCAGATAGCTCTTTGAATCTCTGCCAATTCTGCTTACTTGAATGTGAGCTTCGAGATTGGGAAAGAAGAGAGAACAAACCAGAAGGGAAGTAGATTTAAATTATTTAGGTTTTATGAACCCAATTTGGATTTTGCCAGTACCAACTGCCTGGGGGTTTGAGCTACTTATTTAACTGAAATAAGAGCATTAGAGGGAGAAAGAGAATAATTTTCAGGGTCAAATTCCCCTGAAATATGAACTGGCTTATTAAAAAAAAAAAGGAAAAAACATGAATCTCAAAGGTAGTTAAAGAAGCCAGTGTGTCATAGGCAGCCATTTTAGCCCACAGATCTTAAAACAAAAGTGCCTCCCCCGTGAAGTGAGTGGGGAGCAAGTTTCTAGGAAAAGCAAGCCATGCCCCTGAGAAGGGTTGAAAGAGTTCTTCCCCTGCCCAAGCTAAGGGGTACATTGACAGCTCAGCTTGCCTGTCTCACCAGGACCATCTGGTGGGCTATAACAAATTGCTGAAATGTTTCCCGTAAAGCAAATTTATCTATGTCAACTCCTATTTATCCCCACTGTCTACCTTTAAAAAAAAAAGTGGAAGCAGATTTTATACTCTGGCTCCATGGAATAAAGAAATTACACTTTTAAAATCATATATTTACAGACGTAAAAAAAGAATATAGTAGTACCAATTATGAATTAAGGCAAGACATTAAATATGAATGCCAATTAGTTTTTTAGATGATAAATTTCAAAGCCCAACAGAACAACAATGGTGGTCTACAATGGCCCTCTGCACCTCTCAAGATATCCCTTCTCCTCCCCTTCCTAACATTCCACAGCAGGAGAATGTGGAAATCTCTCTTATTGCAGAGACTCAGTTTACTGCCATTTATAAAAGGTGTTGCTGGTTTGGGGAGTTTTTTATGTGTGTTTTTATTTTGTTTCGTTTTTTAGAAGAGATTTAATCTAATTGGTCTGGATAGAATGGAGGAAAAAGAACAACAGAAATAATGAAAGAAAGTGTAACTGAACAAACAAGAGAGCTTATTTATTGGAACACATAAATTTAGTAATGGGAAGACACAGGGAGGAGGCAAGGGTGGGGGTGAGTAAGTTGGAATGGGCAGGGATTAGGGTCAACATCCAATGAAGTCTTCAAGTGATATACACTTTGTGTATAGCTCAGTGCTTACTATAAGTGAGCAGAGGCAACAGAGATCATTGCCACTGAGAAGTCCACTGGAAACATTTCAGACATAAAATCTGTTATCTCCTCCTTGACTTTCTCTTTTAATCTAACGATTAACTGCCTGTGCACACATAATCCAGGAAACAGTCAAAGAAACTAGCCACTATGTCAGTGCCTCCCACTAGCTTATTTTTTCCTAAACTATTTGCATGAGATAATAGCAGTACGTAGTAAGTGCGTTACAGTAGGGCAACAGAAACCACATGATGTCATACAACAGGCATCCAGAGCAGGAAATGATAAGAGTAGAGGTAATTTATAAAACCAGGGGTAGGAGTAAGGGGAAGGAATTTATGTACAGAACCTACCTATAAGCACATGTGATTTTCTAAGTTTCTGACATAGAACGATGAATGCAAAACCATTGGTACTTCACACATAACTCTCTATTTCTGTACAGGTAACGAATTTTAATCTGTTTAAAGAAAAAAACCATGAAAATTTTTCTAATATCTGCTTTATACTGTGTATTACAACTCAATTCTGTGAAGTTTAATGGCACTTTTAGATACCCTGTGCAATTTAGAACATCTTTGGGGGAAAAAAAGTCTCCTTTCTGGAATAACATATCACAACTCATAGGAATCAGACCTGAGTTCAAATCCTGACTGCCACTTACTACCTGTGTGACTTTTGGAAAATCATACTGCCTCTCTGAACCTCAGTTTCCTCATCTGTAGTGAAGGGATTGGATTAAAAGACCTCTAAGGTCCCCTCTAGCTTTAAATCTATAACCCCATGACCTTCTGGTTTGCTTTGGGTTATTAGACAACTCCCTTAAATACCTCTCAGACTCAGTTTCCTCATTTCTAAACAAATGGGTGGGACTAGACAACTCACGAGGTCCCTTCCAGTTCTAAATCCTATGAGCTTTTGATCTAAATTAGCTCAGCAGTCTTTGAGAGCCTAATTCATAAGCACTACCCTAAAGAGCTAGAGACATAGCCAACACCCTCTGTCTCATGTTCTACCCTCATACGGCAAGTAACAGTACTTTTTCTAAGAGCCTTTTATGCCCAGGTGGCTTTCCCAACATGAATGGAGGGAGGATCGAGGAGAGACCATTTCAGCATGGTTAAAGAAGGCAGTGTTTTCTCCACCAATGAGATTTTCCACTAGCACCACTGACATTCTCACCTTTAAGGCTTTTCAAAGAGCAAAAGAAATTACAGGGAATGCTCTCAGACCTGAAAGAGGCAGGAGATAGCAATCATAGTGGGTGGGGGCTGCCTCTGACACCCAAGGAAAGTGATTCAGGCTGGTTTTACGGTTTTCTCACCAATGATACCTACACAGTGTGTATTTAGTGTATATTAAAAGTTTTCTTCCTCCCTCCCTAACCCCCTAGGGGCTGTGCTCTCAGTACTGGGGGAGTAGCAGGCTGAGAACATTTTCCATAAGACATGGTAAAGTGCTAGGCTTCCCAGACAGATGGGTCCAAGTGGGCACTTAACTATTTTATGGAGTTTTCCTTTCCAATCATTCTCTGCAGAAATTTGCTG